AGAGAGAGAGAGAGAGAGAGAGAGAGAGAGAGAGAGATTTTTGCGTGTATAGCGAATATCACGACAAAAAAAAAATTATTAATAAAAAAAAACGAGCACTGTAACGACAACGGCCCCGCCCCCCTCTTCCTCCCTCTCCTCTCCCGCAACGTAGCTGCGGGGGGTCCACTTGTTACTGTAACAGCATTCAGACCCCTATAGTCTATACACATCCGCAGCTCTCCCTCTTTCTTGGGGACAAAGAGAACAGGTGCTCCGAAAGGAGATGAACTGGGTCTAATCCAACCCTTCTCAAGGAGCTCGTCTAATTGGTTGCGAAGCTCCTCTAACTCCCGCGGGGACATTCTGTACACGGCTCCCTTGGGAGTTCTACTGCCAAGCTCAATCTCAATGCGGTGCTGGATAGGCCGCGGTACTACTCCTGTTGGCGGCTCAGCCAGGTCCTTGAACTCCTCCAGCAGCTTGGCAATCGCAGGGTCTATAGGCTTCTCTTCCTTAGGCTCAGTCACTGGTCTAACATAGGCTACAAAGACCTGTTCTTCTAGGTGCTCCTTCTTCACGAATCTCACGAATGCAGGTGCACTAAGGCAACAATGTGCCAGGGGATTCTCTACTCCTGACACATGGAACAGGCGGGCAGTCTTAGCCTCGCCTGAAGGACTAGGGAGCTTACACCAGTGCTCTTTCAAATAGAGTGTGGCCCCGGCTGCTTCTCCCCAATCCATTCCCAGGAAAATATCGAATGGGAGGCTGTCTTCTACGAGGAGAGTCAGGGAGTGGAGGACTTTCTCCACTTTCCCATCTTTCTCTAGGCGTAAATACGCCTGGACTCCCTCTACATAATCCTCTACAACCATTGTACGGTTGTGAGCGAGGATACTAATTATGGGGTATGTTAATTTCTGGACTTTAAGTCCCAGCTTCAACTTCTGCAGCGCTTTCCTACTAATATAGCTGCGGGTGGCCCCTGAATTTACTAGGGCCCCTACTCTACCTCTAAAAATCTCTGTATCTAGTAATATAAGCTGCCCCTTATTCTCTTTCTTCATCTTGGCCCAGGCGGGCATCCTCTCCTTCAATTCATCAGCCACGCCTGTGAGGGAGGTGCCTAGAGAGACTCTAACACAAGCAGTCTCTGGACAGTGATCTAGACACCGGCCTGCAACCTCTGCCATAGGCACATGTGGTGTGGGAGTCTCTTGCCGGCTAGCGCTATGTTCCCCACATGGCCTAATGGTAGGGGCAGTTGCTACCCCTACCGGCGGCTGCCTTTTGGCCCTTGAGCAGCCGTCCGGGTCTCTCTATACTTAGGATAGTATTCAATGATATGGCCCGGGTCACCGCCAAAAATGCACTGGCCCCGGTCCAGACGCTATTGCCATAAGCTCTGGTCCAGACCCAGACTTTCCCAAGGCCTACCTTGGGGTAGCCCTGGGTGCCATCCACCTACCCTATAGGGAGACCTATTCCTAGGATGGTTTTGCGGGGGACCTTGACCCCTGCCTCCCGCTTGGCGGTTTCCTCCTCTGCCGCCAACCCCCTGATCGCCCTGAAACAAGGTGAAGGAGAAGGAAGGAGAAGACAAGGGTGGCGAAGGTGAAGGTGCTGGCAGCCATAGCCGAGGTGGAGAGTTTACCGGAGGGTTGACCGGACGTTGACCGGAAGGTTGAACCAACGTGTTGACCGAGGTCTTCCAGCATTGACCGAGGAGTTGACCGGCGCCATTGACCAGGATTTGGACCAAGCTGGAGTTGGTAATGCCTCGCCAAGCCCCTAGCCTATTCCCTCACCCTGTGGATGTGCACTCACCCTACGGTACTTGCTGAGTTTGAGTTTGTCTGTCTTTCCTTTCTGCATCGAGTCTCTTCTGTCCTAAGTGGTAGCACTCCGTGGATGAAGGATAGTGCTTGGATGACGAAACCTTAGTCTGACCTTGTAGGGCTGATGCTGTGGCTGATCCAACTTTCCAGGGGGGGCTAACCCTCCCAAGGACCGGTGCTGACCGGCTGGAAACGGATGGTAGGACTCAGTGGGCCTGAACGGCAGCTAAGGCTGACACACGAGGCAGTCTTTAAGTGTTGAGGGCCTGTTTGAACCACTCCCCTACCGGACCTAGTAAGGCTGATGATCTGTGTCTAACGACTCGACTGTCCCGGGGGATACGAACCCTCCCAAGGACCGGTACAGACCGGCGGGCTGCTCGGTGTGGCACAGTAGGCCGGAAAGGCTGAGTTGTGGGCTGAAAGCACAGGCAAGAACCAAGCTGATCACGTCGTCCTGTCTGCGACGTTAAAGAATTCTTGCGGAGTTAGGGGGATCTCCTTAAATGCCTCCAGATCAGCAATTGGTTCGGTAGTGACAGCCTTAGAGTAGGTCTAGGCTAGCGACCATAGCTGACAGGGTTGTACCCTATGGTCCTTAGAGAGTCAGTCAGTAAGTGGGTCAGTGTCCGGGTAGGTCTAAGTGGTGAGGAGTGGGACTTTTGTCGTGCACCTGACACCACTATGGATGACTATCCGATCTATGGGTTACTTGTCGGGTTCTCCCTTTGGGGGACCCTTTGGCGTCTCCTCTTCCCTCTGGGCTTCTGGCCCACCTTCACGTGTAGAGTAGGAACCCGGGGTGGCACTTCCACCCAGCCTTACACGAAGGAGGAGGAGGAGAAGATGGCCGCCATCCTGCAGGAGAGAAAGGAGAAGGAGGAGGCCAAGAAGAAGGCCTTGCAGGAGGAGCAGGCAGCAAAGTTGAAAAAGATAGAGGAGGAGATGGCCAGAGAAAAAGAGAGGTTGAAGAAGGAAGAAGAGGATAAGTTGAAGGAGGTGGAAGAGGAGGAAGAAGAGGGACCGCCACTGCAAAGGAGGAGAGGGCAGCACAGTGGCAGCAAGGATGAAGAGATGGAGAAACGGATTTCGGAGTGGGTCGCCAACTTATCCCTGGGCGAAGAAGAAGAGGTAACTATGTACATCCCCAAGGATGAGCAGGAAGCCGCTATGAAGGAGTGGGAAGCAGAAGGAGATGTTTTGAAGCGGCAGGCGATGGAAGACGAGAAGAGAATGGAGTGGAAACTCGCAATGATGAGGGAGAAGAAGAAGAGGGTGGACGCAGCGAGTGAAGCATTCAAAGATTTAGAGGAGGTGCAAAAACTAACTTTACGATTGACCCCTCAGGTAGACCTCCAACAAAAGGCGGATATCATTGCCCAGAGCGTCGAACGTTTAGCCAGAGTGCAAGAACAACAATACGAGTTTAGCCGAAGTCAGGATATAGTCGTGCGTTCGATGCGGATGGGGTTTCGGGACTTTGCCCGCGAATTGGTACGCACTGAGCCGAGGTGAATCATCGCCTCGAGAAGACTGAGCGTTTTTGTGTTAGCGCCATTGAAGGCGTCAAGGTGGCAGCTCCCAAGGAGGAAGAGCCGCGTCCTTGTAGGGAGCAGGTCAAAGTCAAATTCCCTGATTCCTACAGTGGGAAAAGGGAAGAAAACTTTGACAACTGGGAGACCAACGTCAAGACTTATGTGCATCTGCAACAGGTCTCCCCAACAATGATGCAGTGGCCTATTCATCGTTCACCCCTCTCGTTGATTTCATGAAATTACTGCGCGAGTGATTTGCTGATGTCGCTCGCAGTGTCAAGGCCTCAGATAAGCTCTAGACCATCCACGCTCGTAAATGGAAGAGTGTCAGGGCACTCAAGGGTACGATGGATGAATTGGTGGCTGTCCATGACCATGGGGTCACAGAGGCCCAATTGGTCGGCCTCTTCTATCAGGCTATGCCCGAAGCCTTTAGAGGGCAGTTCTTCGCGAAGAGCGAAGATCCTGCCACCACTTATGATTCCCTTAGCTGTGAAGTGGTGTCTTTCGAGGCGAATTCGGTGTCACTCTCTACCTTCTGGCACAAAGACCTCGACAAAGGAAAGCAATGGAAAGGCCGCACGATCTCAGGGCAGGTAAAGACCAAGGATAGCCTTGTCCTTACCTTAGATGAAGGTAGTGTGGACGAGATCCCCTACGACCAGATTGAGTGGGGGTTCGAGGAGGAGGACAGCGGTGTGAGCCAAGGGAGGACTTACGCTACTGTCGCGGCTGGAGGGAGGCCGCAAGGAGGAGGACGAGGCCAGGGCCAAGGGGGTCGGGCCTTTTTTTTTTTTTTTGGTCACCCTCGGCTATGTCTGTCTTCTTCTTCGATGTCCCTCCTTCCACACTTCTCCTTCTATCTCTCTCCTCGGTCCCTCCTTCTCTGTCCTCCTTCGTCACTCCGTAATACAGCTCTGCAGCTATGGCCGCTTTCTCCCTCCTTCGTGGGTCTGCGCAGCAACTCCACAGGTACGTAACAGCCAATCTTGTATCGCTCCTCTCTCTCTCTCTCTCTCTCTCTCTCTCTCTCTCTCTCTCTCTCTCTCTCTCTCTCTCTCTCTCT